TCCGTGATGCCTTCAGTTGTCTCGTCGAGAAGCTGGCGAAGAAGGTCCCGCTTGACGGTTTCCACACTCCGCCCAGCCCTTCCGTCCGAAATAAGGGTGGACCGGTGGACCAACTCCGTTATTCTGCCAAAGTCCGCCAAGATATTTTTGGTAAACTGAGGCCCGTTGTCCGTAACTACTTCTTCTGGGAGTCTATAAACGCGAAGATGTCCGCAGCTTTTCGATCGTCCTGTCTGCAGTTGTTGACTTCATCAAAAACACCTCCTCCAACTTTGAGCGTGCGTCAAAAAGCACCACAAACCACTGGTTGTCTGTAAATGCGAAATCCAGACGATTTCGCTCCCATCTGCGAGTCGGCTAACCTAACGTCTCTAGTGGCACACTGGGTGAAGCAATTTGCGTCAATTGACGGTTGCTGCAGCTTTTAACGGCGCTTTCAATGTCTTGCGTAAGCTGAGGTTACCACATAGAACTACGGCCGAGCATTTTCATGCGGGTCATGCCCGGGCGACCTTCGTACAAAATATGCAGCACTTGTTTCCGAAGTATATGAGGAATAATCACACGATTACCCCAGGTAACAGATTGCTGGTCTACCGACAGTTCATGCCGTCTAACAAAGCAAGCTGACAACTCGCTGTCCGTTACATACGCGGGCCAACCGTGCATCGAGTACATCAACACTTTTGAAAGAACACCGTCAGTGCCAATGCACTTCTGGATCTTGACAGCAGATAACGGCACTTCATCAACAACTGAAATGAAGGGTACGTAATCGGAGACATCTTTCTCGTTTGCTATAAACAACCGTGACAGTGCGTCAGCATTTACAACATTGCTGCCTTTGCGATGCACATATCGGTAATCATACGCCGCTAGCAATGAAACCCAGCGTTGCATGCGAGCAGCTCACATCACTGAAACGGGCTTCCCGTGACCCAAAAGACCAGCTAGTGGTTGGTGGTCGGAATAGATGACAAAGCTGCGCCCAAACAGGTACTTGAGGAACTTCTTCAAGCCAAATACCACGGCCAGGGCCTCCTTCTCTATGTGAGCATAACCCTGCTCTGTTTTGCTCAATGCCCTGGACGCGTAAGCGATTGGCTTTCATCCTTTTCGATCCTACGAAAAAGAATGCCACCCATGCCATAAGCTGACGCGTCACACACGAGCCCAATCTCGTTCGTTAGGTCGTAGGAAGTTAAAACACTTTCCGGCGTGAGCCAGGTTTTACTTTGCTGAAATACTTCCTCTTCCGCGCGTGAACACTAAAACCCTTTTTCGTGGTTTATCACATTGTACGGAGGCTTTAGCCTGGCAGCCATGTTAGGAACAAACGTCTATAAAGGTTAATCAATCCAAGGGAGGCGCGCAACTGTGCTTCACTCTTTGGTGTAGGTGCATCCTTTATCGCATTCACCTTACTGTCTGATGACCTTACGTCTTTCTCGTCAAGAATGTGCCCCAGATAAGAGATATACGTCTGGAAAACTTGCTTGTTTCTTTCTTCAATCATATGCCTATCTCCTGTAACCGTGACAGCAGTCTTTTCACTTTTTGGAAACGCTATTGAAATGTAGACCCTGCTATCAAAAGGTCACCTAAATAGCATGAGACTCGATCTAATCCCTTTAACACGTCATCCATAACAACTCGAAAGATGGAAGGGACACTCGTGATGCCATATGGTAATCGAGTGTACTTGAACAGTACAATGTGTGTGTTGACCACTACTAGTGACTGTGCCTCTGGATGCAATGCGAGCTGCCGATAGGCAATAGAAATGTCAAGAACCGTGAAGTACTTGCGCCCAGACATCATTACGAACAAATCTCCCATAACAGGAAGGGGGTAATGATCCGTTCGTAGGCACGGATTCAATGTAACTTTAAAGTTAAAAAATCCCTGACTTGGTTTTTCGGTTTAGGCGCAAATACCAGAGACGTAGCCGAGTCAGTTTGCTGCACATCAACAAGGACTCTTGTTTCTACGAGAGACTGCAGCTCAAGTGACACGGCTTCCCTCAATGCGAACGGCACTTGACTTGCTTTGCAAAATACCGGTGTGCTACCTTCTTTGAGGAAAGTTCGACTGGGCTTCCCAGTCAGTGTCAGCGAAGCTCCGCCGAACGTTTTCAGCTTTAAATGGCATGTCTCTAAAGGTAGAGTGGGCCAGTACTGTTTGTGCATGGTTTCAGGTATCATTGAGACAGACGCGCCCGTGTCTATTGGCACGAGAATATTCTTCTGGGCTACCTTCGAATAAATTTCGCAACGTCCTTAACTCAAGTCACCAGAATCGACATTGTGCAGCACAACTTCGTGACTGTCACTGTCCTCTGCTACTACGTTAGCAGTGTCTTTAGCCCCGACCATGCACATTTATTGCTAAGTGTCCATAACGTTTGCAAGAACGACAGCGCTACTTCCGAAATTTGCGGGTCGCCGCCTCGTGTGTCGAGCCGCACCGTAAACAGTCCGCAGACTACGACAATCTTGCTCTCGCTGGTTCCACAGGAGCAGACCATTTACGCAGTCGCTGCTGGGGGCGTCTCCCACTGTCTGGCTTGTGGCGGAGCGCGGTGACTGTGACTTGGGCATGACTGGGCTAAAATTCTTGACTTTCCTTGCGAGCCCGTTCGATACTCTGAGATTTGACAGGCATGCGTAAACGTCCACGTGTTCTTTTCCAAAAACTGCGCTTGAGTTTCTTTGTCAGTGAGCCCGGCAACAAAATAGTCCCTAAGAGCATCGTCCAAATATGCTTTGAAGTTGCACGACTCAGCCAATCGCTTCTGCTCTACCGCGAGCGATGCTGTCGGTTCACCTTCTTGCTGGAAACGACGCTTAAACTTGAACCGCTCAGCTAGGACTAGGGACTTCGGGGGATAGTGTACCCGCAAAGCTCGCACCAGCTGAGCGTAATTCTGGGTTTCCGGCTTGTCGAGCTCGAACAAAGTTACCGAAGTCTTGAAGGCCTTCTTTCCTGTTGCCGTTACAAACGTTAATAGATTCAGGTCGTCGCTCACCTCGAAGGCCTTCAGAGAGTGTTCGAACCGCTCGACGTAAAACTCGAGGTCTTCGTCGCCGTCCTCAATGAACTGGTCGAACCTTCCGAGCTTTGGCATCCCGGTGTCTCGTCGCGGCACGCTGCGGAAACTCTGCTTAAAGCTTCTTGCGACAATGCAGCATCCCACCTTCGTCGCCATATATTGGAGCCGCGGTGGTCGAGGCAGGAGACAGAACGTCTAGTCTGAAAAAGGTTATTCGGCCAGCGCGGCCGTCCGAAAAAGACGGAGCTTCGTGTTCCCAGCGCTTTTACAGCTGATCAGCAGTCATCCCGATACTGACGTCATAGAGCTCTTAGCATGACACAACATATTCCGTCTCTCGTGAAAGATGACGTTGTAATCACTGACGCTTCTCAAAAGGCAGAATTTTTTAACTCTTGCTTTATTTATGTGTTTCTATTGGGCGTTACAAATAACACCACCGTCAGCTGTATTCTAGATGGAACCCTAGCTTTCCGCGTGGGAGACAAACGCGATAACCATTATAGGCCACGCGCGCGCTGCCTACTTGGCCATCTGCGCGCGCGGCAATGTAACACGTCCTGTCTAATGCTAACCGCTCTCTTGGCTATCTTCGACGGAACCTGAAACTAGCACCATCATCAGTTAAACAGCTAGCCTACATTACAGTCGTAAGATCGCAACTTGAATACGCGTCATCCATCTGGTCCCCTTGGCAACATTCATTGATAACAAGCATAGAGACACTTCAAAATCGCGCAATCAGATTCATTGTTTTATATTACTCACGAGACACCAGCATCACTTCTTTACGAATGAAAGCTAACCTTGGTCTGCTCCCATCCAGAAGAAAATGATCACGCCTGTCTCTTTTTCACAAGATTTACTACCATAACCATGACATCAGAACTTCACTATTATTCCCAGCCACTCGCGTATTTCCTCGCGTTGACAAAATCTGTAAAGTTCGTCCAATTTTCGCCTCGTCAGTTTCGTTTCTTAACTCTACCTTGCCATTAACAATAACAGACTGGAATAGGCTGCCTAACAGTATCGTGACACCCCCCCCCCCCCAGACAGATCATAACACATTCATATCCCAACTGACCATCCATCTGCTGTTGCACTAATAGCAAAGTCAACTCTTGTTTATAGAAATGTTTTATTTGTGTATTTTCCTGTTTACTCAGCTGTTTTTCCTTAAAGATGTCTTGAGTGTTTTTTTTTTTCCTGTTTTTGCTGCTTTATATAACAATGTCCTCCAGCATGTAACCCACTTTTTATTTGTTCCTTTATATAATGTTTCTTCAGCAGGATACCCCCACCTTGTGTAATGCCCGTAAGGGCCTTTAAGGTTTAATAAATGATGATGATGATGAAATGAGGCACAAGGCGTAACGAGGCGAGAACAATGACGCAGTTTGCAGAAAACGCGCCATAATCGCATCAGCAAAGTTCACGAGGTAATATTGGGCAGTAAGAAGCCCAGTGGGTGCGAATTTCAGCTCGCTCTTTCCCAACTTCTTTCGATATGAACGCCTCGGTGCGTTCACTAGAATGATAATTTCGATCGAATAACACCAAACATCGCGATGTTCCCCGGGAATATTTTATATGGCAGTCATAGAATATCCATCCGCAGTAATTACACTTTTGTACGTTTATAGTTTCTATTCCACGGCTCTGCAAATTTCCGCATTGAAGCCCATGTGCCACAATCACAAAATTATAAATATCTCATTTTCGTGACAAAAGATGGCACTGATCCCCCAGGACTGTACTTATCTGGGTATCATAGCACACAAATCTGTTAAAATTACAATATTTACTTCTAAAGATTTTATTCTACGGAATGTACCAGAAAGTTGGCCATCAGGTGATGCGTTGAAATGATTTCCCGTAGTTCATTTTACAATGTTCGAAATGCCGAAGCCACACAAAGACGGGGAATGGACGCGCTCATTCTTACCGAACAACGGCGGAAACTCGTGAAAGGAGACCATGTCAGCGTTCCCTCTCCAGTTCAGCGTGTAGCACATGTATTTGGGCAGTCGTGAGTAGGTCTGCTTGATCTGCCTGCACAAACAGAAAGAAGTTCTTGGGGCCCATTTTGTAAGACTTGTGGGTTAAATCACTTTTTTGCATGTGCGATTGACAGGGCACGACCCAGTTGTCACGATTGAGCGATCGCTGATTTCTTGTTTTTTCATTGCGTCTGACGTTGTTGTTGTTGTTGTTTTGTTTCTTTAGAACGATTGAAAAGGAAATAGGTCCATGTCAAATAATGTGGCCACCCGCTACTTTGAAAAGCTTGAAAACACTAGGCAAATAACGCATTAAGAGTCCACCCTAGACTTTTGTGCCAGCCTCGGTAACCACTTCTCTTGACACTCTGGTGCAAAGCGGTGAAGCCTAGCGAATCATGCGCCCCTTGCGAATTTTTGTTTTTGGAGCTAACAAGCGCCCTTACCGGTTTTTCGCGACTATCTTAACATTTTCAGATAAGCGTCTGCCAGTTATTTTACGGGATTTCACTTATACCTCGGTGGAATGTATTGAGCATGGGTACAAACGTGGGTGCTAATATATTGTATGAATCCGTACCCTTCATGAGCTAAATGCGAAAATGCGCCAATGCCGTGCTGGCACCAACTGTGTCGCGCAGTGGCTCGCTGTACAATATATATATATTTTAGTCAGATGCATATTTTTGTTCTGTTGCGGCACGTCTACTAGAATGCATTTTAAAAGGGTAAAACAGCACAAAAAAAGACGGACAGGAAGAAGTACACAAACGGAGCGCTGACATTCAACTGTTTCATTTCTGAAAAAAGACGCCCACCGCCGTGCCCACATATTTCCAATCAAATTACATCCCGTACGTCATATCGAATGACCACTCGCACCTATCACAGTGCACCACCACGTGTCCTGACTTCACCGTCAAGAACTTGGCGATGCACTGTGATAGGTGCGGCTGCACTCCTGTTTTAATTCATACTAAGATTCTGGCCAAGCACCGTCAAAAGATGACTAAATAGATTGCGGAAGCGTTTTTTTTTATTTCTAAGTACAAAGATAGGTGTGTCAGCACTCCCTCTATTTGTTTATTTGACAGTGAACTTGCGTTCATCAGCAGTTTCGACACAATGGTCAGTTGATATGACGTACGTGATGTAATTTGATAGGAAATATGTGGGTACGGCGGTGGGCGTCTTTTTTCAAAATAAAACAGTTGAAAGTATGCGCTTCGTTTGTGTACTTCTCCCCGTCCGTGCCTTTTTGCGCTGTTTTACCCTTTTAAAATGCATCATCAACTCGCCCAACTCACCACCGTACTACTGGAATGCGTATTTGACGGTTAACCCCCACGCATCGCAGTGATAGCAAACAGGAAACAAATATGGACTGCTTCCAAAAGGAATGAGTTAGGTTACCAAAGTCCTCGTGGCTCGTGGCATGCCTATAGAGCTGATGATCCAACTTGTGAAGTAATACGAGCACATCTGACATCACATCGTTCGAGCCCCTTGGCTGTATAAGTTTAGCCCGCGTTTTCTGGCTGTCTGCATGGCGAGCGGAAGTTGACCAATCCTCTACTGTGTCCAACTCCGTCGGTCAGAGCCTCATCGGTTTCAAGGGCTGCCATTAATGTGTCGTGGCAAGGTACGACAATGCACAGATCTAACGTCATCGAACAAGCATTGACCGTACAGAAAATAAGGATGTATTTCTTGATCATATCTCATAAGCTCGGAGGCTTTATCAGATGGGATCAACAATGTGTTGCAAATGAGCTCGGCACATGTCGTGTGTGTGTGTTTGCGACGTCACGTGATTTCGTGACGTTACGCGACGTCATGGTGTCTGGGGACGTCACATGACACGTGAACTTGACATGAAGTCACGTGACATCATGATGTGACGTGACATGACATACTGACGCAAGGTCACGTAAGCCATACGGGCACTATGAGCCGGGCTGTATTGCTTAAAGGACCTTGATCTGTGTGTTGGTCGAGACTCGAGCGTAACGGTCGAGCGTAAAGGCTGAAGGTCCGTTCACACTCTTGCAACCGAGTACGACCGAGAGAGACCAGACCGGTTTTAAAGCCTCTTGCGACGTCTTAGGACCGGATGGGCTGCTGCGGAGCTGGTTCTAAGACGTCGTAAGAGGCTTTAAAACCGGTCTTGTCTTTCTCGGTCGTACTCGGTTGCAAGAGTGCGAACGGGCCTTGATTCACACACTTGCGTTTGACTGCGACCGACTCAGCTACAAGCGTTTTCAAGCCGCTTGTGACTGCGTACGACCGGCTACGCAGCCGCAGAGCCGGTCGTGAGGTGTCACAAGCTGCTTGAAAACCAGCTGCAGTGCAATCGATCGAAAACGTGACTCTGTTTTATGAAGCTCAGTTCTATAACACATATGGCCACGTCCATCGCCAAGCGAACGCGTGGCCCGCCCCTCCCCCCGTCCAAAAAAAGAAAAGCGCGTGTGTGGTTGCATGGTTACCATGCTTGGCTTTCGCGCGGAGGACCCAGGTTCGATTCCTGGGTTTCTTTTATATATTCTTTCAGTTTACCGTTCTCGCAAGTTTGAGAACCTTGTCTGATCGAGGTTCGAATGTTCTACGCGCCGAACGTTCTACGCCGAATGTTCCAAAAACTCACGCGGGTACAAAGGGAGCTCCGTTGTGGCGGACAGGGGGCAGCCTCGCTCTTGCGCTCGAACTGCTACGCCTACTTCGACGCCCGCGACGCTCTGTCGTTATATTTGGTTTCCATTTGGATTTGGCCCAAGGTCGCCACATTAAACTTTTCAGTTTCCTCAGTTATTCTTTGTGTCGTCACCTCGTCATTCGTTACAATATTGTCTTAAAACACGGTAATCGGAGATCCGTTTTAAGCACCATCTGATAAGAAGGTATAAGATAAGATATAAGACAACAGTTGGCATGCATTAGATGAAACGTGCAGTACGTCAGCAATGAGAGATGCATGCTGCTTATATAATTGCCAAAGTCTAACGAAGAACGGCACGCTCCATGAGCTAGCCAACGCACTCCAGCGGATGGCGAGAAGACGGCTCGTCGGATGAACGCAATTCAACTTGGAGCAGAGAGAAGCAGCTGCTTTCATCGACGACATTGAAGACAAATGTTTTGTCCACCAAACATAGGCTTCAGCGATTAAGTACCAGTTCGGACAGATGCTAAGTCCAGCTCAGCGAAATGTACAGAGTCGGCCCCTGTTGAGTGCTCAACATCACCAAGAAAACTTCCTTTGCTGCTCTCAAAAACACGTACATTTTGGCTTTCTAATAATCTCGAAAGTTTAATTTGACATATGTTCACTTTTTTCTGCTTCATCCACATAACGGTGAAACTGACATTGGCGGAAGGGTCCTGAAGGTGAGAGATATGTTGTCCTTGCAGTGGTTGCCCGTTTCCCAGAAAGTAAAGAAAGGAGGGACCGCAGATAACGTAGTAGAACAAGAAGGGCGAAATGTGTAGGGAAACTACATTGCAATATTGTGACGTATTGGGCTAGTTCGTTTGAAGCGAATATCTTGGGAAGAACAGCGGCAAAAGCTTTTGTCAGAAAACAAAAGAATGGTGGTCGTGCCCTATCTTCATCGGCTACCTCATAGCTTTAAGCAAGTCGGAGTTCGCTATGGTGTCCCGGTAGTGTTTTCTGCCCCACAGAAAATGGGTCAGATATCTGCAAAGGTCGGCGCTGCCACCGAAAAGCGATCAAAAAGGAAATGCACCAAAAACCACGTAGTGCCGTTTCTGGCTTGTGTGTCTGGCGTGGTTCATAAGATCCCCTTGTCGTGCGGCAAGTATACTTTGCACAGACAGCCCGCTGTTTAAATGACAGACTTAGCGAACATTCCTAATCACTTATGGCAACTGTTGAGGGGTTGATACTTTTACAGTGCAAGTGCCAGCCTAATTTTAGTGAAGTCACTGTTTTAGATAAACATAGAGACAGTGTGACAAGGGAAATTATCGAGGCTTTTTTATTCCTGAATTTGGCGGGAGATTCGTGAGAGGGTCGTCGGTTCCTTTATTTGAAAAAGAGTTCGGGTAAGTTCGATCAACTATAAAGGTCTTTACGCAGCCACTGATATGACCTTTCTTGACAAAAAAAAAAAAAAAAGTGTGCTCCTTGTTTGGCTCGTGTGTAGCGTTTGTTTTGTCTGGTTAAGATGCTTCTTGTTTTCGTTCTTTTTTGTGTATTAAAAAAATCTAGTTGGTTCAGCGCCGTCCTGTCGTGTGTATTTGTTTACCCTAGTTCAAGTTTTTTGCCGCTGATCGTTGCGAAGATGTATAGTGACGATTATAATCAAGTATGAATAAAGTACGAGTACGCACGCACGTCCACATACGAACTGTGAGTTAGTTGCAATTCTAGTGAAGGCGACGCCACGCAGCTGCAAAAATGTGAGGAAGGGAGAGAGAGGAAAGCCTACCCCTATCCAAGCTCCATCGAAATCTGGCGTGTCCTTGCGGCCAAAATGGGCAACATGTACGTCAGCGGCAATATGAACGGACCCAGACCACTGGCCGAAAGAAGTAAAACGCTGTATGCTAAGAAACCGACTGCCACATTGCAAGAATAGCCCCAGAGCCGTCAACGGGAGAGCCTCCGTCGGCTGCCAGTCAGAGCGGCTGGTGGCCTAAAATGGTAACTTTGAGAAAGCCTTGCCACGGAATGATTTGACACAAGAGCTGCGTCAGAGTTTGGCAGGCTGCTTTGACGTTTGAGCTCGAGATCAAGACCAATGATCGGGGCCGCGATTTCAAAGTCGAGAAAATTCCGTAGAAGATGGCGCTACCACTATAACCAATCAAGTTATCAAGTTATTGCCCTGTCGGATAATGTAATGTAGATTCCTTCGCAACCCTTTTTAAGAACCTATCGTACCAGGAGTGGCCTCCAGGCCGGAATGCATGCAGCTAGGCCAGTTTCTATTGCGGTACCCGGTCGCACGTCGCTGGGGATGTAAATATTTTCCTTTCATCCGGGGGAAAAAACAAAACAACAGCACGCGAAAATGAGTTGCACTGGGAGCGCATGCATACGTGTCCTCGAGAATGAACTTGTAGTAGTAGAGTGAGGGGTCCTCGATGGTCGTCTGGAGGATCTCTGCGGGTCTCAGGGCGATCTCTCCCAGGTTCCCGTCTTCGTCCAGCACGCGCCGCAGATCAGGAAACTGTGGGTCAGAAAAGTTACAATCGACAATCATCCTACTCGCGTCAAGTGCCGGCGTTAGCCATGGCATTCCTTTAGGCTGCATTCATGCTGGCGTTGGAATCGCAACCGCGAGGCGGATCTGCTCGTTTTCATTATCATCTACGCGGAAAAGGAGATCAGAGAGGAGGGCGGGCGCCGGGGCTCTCTCTGGCAGCGCCAAACAATGCCCGATTGGTAAAATCCGGAAACACGGACGCCCTCCTTTTTCTTTTCAGGAACGGAGAACATTTTGCTTCGACCCACCTCTATTCCGCCCCTCTTCCGTTTCTCCACGCGCCGGTAGCCTCCTTTCTTTTTTCTACGTTCTGCTTTGTTGTTTCGTAGAGAGGCCACCGCGCGTATTGTGGGCGCTCACTGAAGGGTGGCTTTGCGCTACCATATGCGTCACCGTTCGGCGCTGCTCCTCGCGTTTTTTTTTTTTTTTTTTTTTCCGGTGGCACGCTCAATGGCTCCGTCGTCAAATTGATAGGCTTTGTAGAATACAGAAGGTTATGGTCATGGCCAGGCGGCCTGCCGCCCCGGGTCTTATACCTGCTTTTCGATTAACTTCGTAACATCGCTACTTTTCGAAACTTTTAGGTGGAACTGACCACTATATAAGCAAAGCTAAGACTATATTGGCACTCTATTTCCCGACTATCTTGTGAGCGCCGCGCATTTGACTGATATTTTTCTCATCGAATTACCTGAAGTCGCTTGAAGGCAATTGAATGAAGAGTGCAGAGAGGGCGCTGCTGATGCTGATGTTTAAATACATTGCGGGGAAGGCGAAATCGTCAAGCTGCATGATGCAACATTTTTCCTCGGTCTCCCTCCATAATTTGTTTGATGGAAAAATAAACACCTAAAGAAGCGCAAAAAGAACGCAAAACTGGCCAGAATTACTACCTTAATAAAAAATAAACATTATTATTATTATTATTATGTTTTGCTTTGTCGTGGTCTACTTGAGCGTTTCTGGAGGACGTAATTGCTTTTTTTGCGATATCAGATAGAGATTTAGATAACCGGCGACAACGATTTTAAACACCAAGAATGCTCAAGCGCCGATACTTAAACAGAAACTGATGTAGTGGTACTTAGAATGGACAGCGTGCTGGTAATGGCGCTGTCACACTGAGGCAACATGACGGCAACAGCAGCACAACACGTTGTCCAACAGTCAGCAACCTGTTGGTCGCTCCCCGCGTTGTCCGACAACCCTGTCACATCGCGACAACAGCAGCACGACATGGACGTTAACGACAATGTTGCCAAAGTATCGCCGCTTTCAGCAACAAAAAACAGCGGCAACTTGTGTTGAACGACGTGTGTTGCCGCAGATCGGGGGATGAGCAAATTTTGTGCCCTTCACACGACAACACAGATAGCGTCGATGGCAGAGCTAGTTTTCTGTCAATAACGTCTTACTGAAATAAAGGCTCGGAAATGTTGTTTAATAATAATTAACGCTGCGTGGAGCCAGACTCATTTGATGAATGTTTTTACTGCGTAATTAGGTAAAGCTATTGTCGAAATAGTAACAGCCACGGTCGCGAACGTTCAGACTGCTAGTAAAATAAATGTGTCTACTCACCCGCTGATAAAGTCTAATAAAAATAATACCGAATTAAAAAAATATATATAAATCGAAGCATTAAAACGACCGCTCTGATCATGCTTGTTGATGCTTGCAGCTTAGAAACAGCCGCTACCTGACACCTGAATTGTTTTAAAAATCCCCAGGACGCCGTGGAAAATGGGGCGATCACATAGCAGACGGTAGGCAAATAGACAGCGTTGAAAAATATTTAATCCACCGACTGTTATGAAGACCCATATTTTCGGGGTCGCAGTTTTGAAGCACTGTCAATTCAACTCAACACGACGCTACAAAATACGCTTTAAGGTACTGCCGGTGCAAACTCAATTTACAGTAGAAATATTAAGTGAATAAAAAAAAAAGAGCCGGACAGAAATGCCTCATACGGTGTCGTAAATACCGAATATATATCAGCGATCCCACTTTCCTCGGTTAGGGCTATCTGCTTTGACAACGAATGAAAACATTTGGATAAAAGGAAGGGTGTAAAATAGTCCCCGTGTCAAGTTTTCCAATCACAGTCACTGGTTGTTGTCGTCCGGTGGTGATTTCCGTACCACCGAACGCACCAGCACTTTGTAGTCACATTACCAGCGACGGGGCGCCGCACACGAAGGTAAACAATCAAGATGGCGGAGTGTTCTCCGTGTTGTCCCAGCCGTCAGCGCGGTGTGAGAGGGTGGTCGGACAACAAATCGGCCAGCACGGTTGCCGGGTGACTGCAACATGTTGCCCGACTGTTGTTGCCGCGATGTGACAGGGTCGCCGGAAATGTGTTTCTCGTGGTGCCAGATACAGTTGTCCAACTTTTTTTGAATAGGAGAGCGCCTTAAGGATAATATAAATAATCTGCTGCCAGTTGAGAAATCGTCTTGTCTGTCCTTGTTGTTTTTTATGTTCTTCCGATTATTTATATTCTGATTTACTGGCTCTAGGTAGATCTGAACGGCGCGAGCAAACATAAATATATATTTTTACATTCCGCGAAACACGCATAAACCGATCTTTGCCTTTCCCTTTAGTACCCTACAAAAGAATGTGCTTGCATCGCATCACAGAATCTAGAAATACAACATAATTTTAATATATCATTTTTTTAACTGCGAGTCCTTTGGTTGAGAATTTCGCCGACTATTCGCCACCTCTACATCCGGCGTCACACTGCTCGAACATCATACAAAGGACAGTCCGCAAACACGAGTCGCCATAATCTCCACGGTTCGAATGGCGCGTCCCAAGTTTTTCCTTCATCTCGTTGCCATGCGGCATTCGAATCACAGATATTGCGGAAATTGCGTTCGAATCTGTTTGCAGACTGTCTTTCCTACGATGTGTGAGCCCGGCTTCAAGTGACAGTACGTTTGGAGCTATGCGCACGCCGGACCAGTGAACTGCGTCCCTTTCATCATCTCCCTCTGCGCGTTGGTAGAGGCGGGAGAGCCCAATCACGTGGTGGGAGCTAGACGTGTGACTTATTCCAAAAGCCCGTAGCTTCCACCGTATTGTCAGCCTAGGCGGAGTATAGCCGCTGCATGAAACAAACTCTTTTACAAAATATAACTAGGACTGTGTCATTTCCATTGACTGATAGGAGTAAGAGAAACTTACATGTTCTCCTGCTATCACTCAATCAGAAGGACTGATAGCAGATTTCGCCGCTACCCCATTGTGCAACTTACAAACAAAATAAAACGCGATTTTTTTTTTAAATGTTGGTGGTATTTGGATTTGTACTTCTTAAGCCGGTGTGACAGCGCTAAACACCCTGCAAAAGACAGCCCGCACACAGATTGAAACGCGAGTTACCGCGTGCTTCGAATGCCGCATGGCAATGAGTTCCAGGAGGAAACTTGGCAGGTGGCAATCAAACCACGGATATTGCGGTAACTTGTGTTTGCAGACGGTCTTTTGTATGATGTACGAGCAGTGTCTTACTTGCTTCCTTAGGGTCTTACTTGCCTTGTCTTTGGTAATGTTGCAGAACCGTGGATAGCGGTAGCACAGCTTGTCTTTGTCAATCCTGTAGAAAGAACATGCCGTTTACTTTAGTGATCCTACGCGGATACCGAGGTCCTGTAGAAAAATATATTTACATCTTGTTATAACATTGCCTTAATTTGTACGTCATAAATAACATAGAGGCTATGCCAAAAGAAAAAAAATGTGGAAGGACTAAATGTCAAGATAAATTATAAATAGGATTCCGTGTTTTCGGACTTTGTTTCTCGTAAAATTCGGAGAGTGCTTTTATGTGTTTTTTTCTCGCTCAAAATTCGGTATTTATCAAAGTATACATTTGCTAGATTTCTAGTTCCTAGAAATTCAGAGTCTAATTTTACAGTGTCCCCAATTTTTAAAACTTCATTAACAAAACAAATAAAATCCGGGGACTATGAGCCGTTATCCTGAAAGAAACTTGGCGAACTGAAAGGCAAATCAATTTTGTAAGTTGTTCGAGATTTCAAAAGAAAGTGGTCTCTCCTCAGGATCACAAACCCTGTCCTCTTATAAAAAGTATTCGTAAACACCGTGTTTTTTGCTTTATACTTTGCCTTTGCGACCTAGAAAATCTGAGTTTACTGGATAAATCTGAATTGACAAACAATTTAGCGGCAAGTGTTCTTCGTATTGGAATTTATCCGAAAGCACGGAAGACTACACTGTTAGCAAAAATAACACGCCCAAGCGTGTAAACCGTTGTCCCAAAGCAGACACGTCAAAACGTGTTCGTTTTACACGTTGCCATGTATGTTAAACATCTACACACGAGGTGCCGTGTAAGCTTTAACACGATACACCGTGTCTACCTTCCGCAAAACACGGCTGAGCGTGTTCCTCATAAAACATGGCGGCCAAGGCCCGAGAAAAGGCGGCAGACGAGCCCAGCGAGCCGCGCGCCTTTCCGCACATAGGACGCACTTGCTCTCGTTCGATGTCTTTTATGCGCAGTAAATAGAGTCTCCAAGCGCTAGCATTGTACCTAGTAGACCAGGGACGAGGTGACTAACGGAGGACGGCGCCGCTCCGATTGCCTCCCACCGTAGCCTAGTCCTCGGCTCGTGTTTACGCTCCGATGTCCTGTACAACTTCCGTACGCGTACTCTTCCGTCGGCTGTGTAAGTCTCGTGTGGCAAAGTGAAGTCGGGTGATGCTTGGTGTCCACTTTTGAGAACAACCAAACATTCTATTTCTTTAAGTCACTGAGCGGCATTCTCCCTCGAAGTTGGAACTCGTGTGCTTCGTGGTTTGGACAGAGATAATAGGTGTCAGCGAATTATTAGGCATTCTCCATGGACGACAATCGACACCAAATCAACTTTCATTGCATTGCCGCTCACCTACTTTGTCGTGCTTATCTCCCGTCGAGGTGATGGGGATCGGAAGCTTTGGGGTAACGTCGGCACCATGGACAAAGGCCGCCGAAAACAATCCTCAATGTCCCACGGTCGCTCCCCGCGACGTGGTCGAGGGTCGTTCGGCACGAACCCTCGCAGGCCAATCATTTGAAATGGGCATATCCAGTACAAACGGTCGGCCTCATGCTATTGGTAGCAGAGTGGTTTTCGGTCGGCCATTCACAACACCTCCGTTTTCCTCGGTGTACTTTGTTCAGCACAGACCTACACCCGATGTCGTGAACGCTTCGGCGTTAGGGTGTCTGATTGAATTGGCATTGGATACTTATGGACAGCCGGTGGCGGTCATCGTACCATTGTGGGGCAAGTCGCCCTTGATTCGTCAGATGCCGCTTCGCTCTCAGAAGTCTCCGGTTGAAATGCCTGTCGAACTTGTTCCTAAACAATCTCGGGAATTAAAATAAAAGCCGGGCAACTGATGGCAGGAAGTAGCTTCCTGGTCACCTCCCGCACAACGTCGTGGAGGATGTCGCGGATGCCTGGAAGGCTGGCGTCGAAGTCGCAGCTGGACGACTTGAGTGTCGAGACGCCGAGAAGTTGTTGATAGTGACAGGCTCGGGCATGCAGTGCACGTTTAATGCTGGAAGCCTCGGTGACATGACCCTTCGACTATCGTCAAGGGGTTGCGGACAAGGCTGCCGAAGGTGTTGTCCCTCACATGAGGGACATGGGATTCTTAGCTTCTTGTCTTCTGTAGCAGAAGGTTCCGCGTGGGCGCCCTATCAGGTGGAAAACATCCTCCACGAAGGCGGTGACGCTCTCGTTGAGACAGTGTCTTGGACAGAATCAGGAATTCAGCTCTCTCTCATCGACGTTGGCTGACGAACGTGCGCTTCAGCTCGATCTTGCAAACTTCCCATGACCTTAAGAAGGATTCATCGTTTTTAAACAAGTGCCTGGCAGTTTTTTCCACGAGAAGTGTAGGTTCTGCGGGAGCTGGTTGTCTGCCTACCCATTGTGGCGGGCGACATGGTCATATTGTTCAATTCAGTCCTCGACGTCTTCATACACCTTGCGTGAAAGGAAGTCGGGGTGTGAGGTGCGACGGGCATGCAAACAATGGTGGAAGTGGACGCGGTTTGCTGCTACAAATATGTCATTATTAGCTTAGTCAACTTCGGTTTTTCTGGCAGGAGACCGAATTCCGGTGGTTCTTCCTGGTAGCGGCGACTGGCTCGGATTTCAAGTTCTTCGTGGTGCATTTCCGAGGTACGTTCTTGTGGTATTCGCTCGTCGTGCGGTTTTTCTGCCAAGCTCAGGATAGGATTTGGATCACGGCTCACCCAGGGTTTATGACGCGGGGTAGTCCGCCACCCGTGTCCCGTTATCGGGCACCTCCGCTGAGGAGCTGCCAGCGTGCACACAGAGTGAAGGGCGATGAATAAAGTACCCAGCACCTCCACCAGAGGATACGACGACAGCCGAGCATGGCCTGCAACTTTCCACAATAGTAAATATTTTTAGAAGATAGGACTGGAACAAGGATCCGTGGCACTATGACAAAAAATACAGAAGAGAGCCTATTTCGACCGCTAAAGAAGCTGCATTGCTTAAGTGGCATTCTGTCCGAATAAATCCTCTCTTTTTGGGGTTTGGCGACTGCCGTGGACGAACTGAAATAAAATGGATGTGGGACCACTTTTCTGGTAATGAGCCGCTGCATACTGTCGCAGCAAAGCAGCGTGAACGGGTGGACTGTGTAGGTAACACGCGGGATAAAATATCCACACAGCTTTCAATACGCGTAACAAGTGTTGATGAAATGTTTGTGTCGACGAAACGTGCGACGGACCAGGAGCATCAATACCAACTGCAACACCTGTGCTTCGTGAATAGACACGTCTATGCCAGAATAATTTAGGAAGCAGCACAGCATCACCTAAAGTACGGCACAGTAACTACCAGCTTAAAGGCAGCTCTTTGGTGCGCCGCACACCTGTGCTCCGTGAAAGTGCACGCAATTTGGGAACCAGCACAACATTATTTAGCCCGGTACGGGAACTACCAGCTTCAAGACAGCTCTCCAGTGCGCCGCACAACAAAAAAGAGCCCTCGGTTATTTGAACGAAGCGGCATCACAACTGCATACTGCCAAGCACGTCTCATGCGATTTCCGTAGCTAAACTGTGTATCCAGATACATTGCACACGCTTCAGTGCAGACCTCGAAGATTGTATCAACGAGAGAACAAAAACGTCACCTTAAAATTTATTCTAGCGATATCCGAATCAATCCGAGGTCCAAGCAACGCAGGGCAGATTGTCTCTTTCATGGCCATATCCCCGTCGATCACCAACGAAGTGCACACCGTTCCTCTGAATTTTCATGTTATACCTACATGAGACACCACGCTGAACTCTAAAGTCGCTCTGGACCGGCCTCATATGACGGCTTCCGCGTCTGAAATCAACTCGCCGAGGCAAACGACAGCAAACAAAGCATCCGACAAGCTTTGGCCAATACTCCGGCTCAGCTAAAGCCAGCCGCTGCCTGGGCACTGCCATCTTTCCTGTGACGTCACGTATTTGGTTTGGTCACGTAACTAAAGCCCCTCGACGTGTTTACGTTTGTCTTGCAAGTAGCGTCAAATGCGCGAGTGCACGAGGCCCATGTCTCGAGCAACCCTTGGAAGCAAATGGCGGCGCAGCACTGAAATGAGCGGGCCTTGGAAGCGAATGGCGGCGGAGCACCCGCTCATGGCACGTGTCTCGCGCGATTCCACAACAATGGTTGGCGGTACTTGTAAAAAACACTTTTATCAAGGGGCTTTACACGTAACGAGTGGTCACATTTGCGTAGAATGGCAGCGGCCTTATGGGGGCACTAGTATCACTAAATAAGCTCAGCTCATTTACCGCTCATTCACACTGGAAGCGGATCCGCGTTCGCAAAGCGGTTGCGAACGCGGTTGTATAAAGATCCAGTACAACTGCACGCGCACTTGATGTCACCGAGTGCGCGTGCAATTATACTGGATCTTTATACAACCGCGCTCGCAACCGCTTTGCGAACGCGGATCCGCTTCCAGTGTGAATGAGCGGTTAGGGCCGGTTGCACCAACGTCGCAATTAGCGCAAAACGGAGCTTAGCCGGGAACTTAAGCTTAGTTTCGGTTTCGTTCGGTTGCACCAATCTCGCTTATCGCTAACTACGCTTAACTTGAGCGCTCAACATTCGGTGCTTTGCTTCTGGTTGTTTCTTAATCCTGGATTAAAAACGGCGGCTGGTTTGTCGCGGTCGACGCGGTGGATGAAATTGGTTGTGCAAAGTGTTTTAGGCTACATCAGCGTGAAAGTCCCGACAAAATGACCTTCGATTGTGACAAGGATGCAAAATATTGTCGCGTGAAGTGTTTATCGACCCCTGTTTTCAAGTTGGCTCTCCACTCTCAGGGCGTGTTAGCCCTAACCGAGAAACGTACGGAGCTGTGGGTCTGTGGGGCTCCCGTCTGTATTCCCGTTGGTTCTTCTGTCAACGAGCTTATTCGTATGTACTTACTAATTTTTGAATAACTGTAACGTATTGTTATTTACCACCTTGTTTATTTACACTTGCAGCGCGTATCCTTCAATTCGATCAGCGCGTTGAATAGTGGCAGTACATG